GTATGTCATTATGTCTAATGGAATTACAAACATTTCTAACTATATATATGTATATCTTTTTATTTTGTTTATATTACTTTTGTTACTATAATGTTTTGTTTTCAACTTTCTAGTAACTGGGAGTTAGTAGTGTAACACCTTTGCTCACTAAACGTTCTTCTACTATCTCTGACAATCGGGTGGAGAGATTGCAGCGTGTCATTTTAGATGCACTTGATTTTACTTATGTTTATGACATTTTCTGTTAATTTTACATTATAAATTTGCTTCGTTAGATGTCTGGTTGGGATATAATATATCATGGTGTTATGTGTTTTTCTTAGCTTTCACTCGATATTAGTTTCTTTTTTGGTTTTCCTGTTTGTTCTAACTATTCAATTAATATTCTTGTGAATGCTGATGTTCTCTACCTTGTATGAATTATGGTTTCTTCTTTTCGGCCAACGGTTGCATGAAATGAAATTGAATCATCCCATGAAGATTAATAAGCTTATACCTCTTGTGAGTTATTCTTCCATTTTAATATTTAAGTGGCTATCAAATTGGTGCCTGGTAGTTCATTTTTTTGTCTCACATTGGTTCCTGGAAGTTCTATTTCATCTCAGCGACCTTTGTGTCTAATTAGTATCTTGCAGATACAACTGTTGTACAAGGATATCAAATTTCCCTTTGTTAATGTGGATGAATGCGTCAAATTATTGCCTACTGTCTGGTTGAGGTAAAAGAGGAAGAGTACTTGGTTCTTTTTTGCAAAGTTGTGAACTAAATTTGTATTTTCATTTCTCATCCATTTCCTTACTTATCATGAATATTTATATATTCATTCTAGAGTTAGTGTTCCTTTCTCTTTTTTTCACTATCATAGAAAGAGAATGAATGCAGTACACTTCATTTAAACTTTACTATATTATTTGTGATAATTGATTAGTTTTATACTTCATTATAAATTGTTGTTCTGTCTTATTGAATCTGTCATATTTCAGTTGGTACATTGAATCTTTTTGTTAATAACTCAGTGGTTTTGTTTTAGTTTTGAAAATTGAGTTGTGTTTCACAAACTGTATTATTTTCCCTTGTTTTGTTTATCGTATTATATATAATATCGTACTAACCAGAGTTGCAATGTTCTAAGTTGTCCCTTCCCCAACAGTTCTTGATGATGCAAGTGCAGCAAATGCACATCAGACTGCTGCTTAACCTGCATACTGTAAAAGTAACCTGTTCTCTGGGGTTGTTCTTGCAAATGGGTGGGAGCCGGATGATTCTACAAACGCATAAAGTTATAACGGTTGGGGTGTGCAAGATTCCTGACCTACATGGGTGAACAATATTTTTTTAATTAAAAGTGAAAGAACCTAGATTAAATTCTAGAGAATAATGTCAAACTACATTACATTTAATTGTAATGTTTATAAAGTTTAATTTATTTTGTTGTTAAGTATTTTTCTGCATAATGTGTCTTAATTAAAATTTATGGTTGTTGTTAATTAGATGAAGCTACATGATATTAAATTTATGTGATGTAGAGCATAAATGAAATATGCAAAATCAATTAATATAAGCTAAAAAATGTAATTAGCGGCGTTTACATCCAAAAACGCCGCTATAGATCTCAACCTTTTGCGGCGTTTGTTCAAAAAACGCCGCTATAGATCTAATCTTTTACGTCGTTTGTTCCAATACACGCCGCTATAGATCTGACCTTTTGCGACGTTTGTTCCAAAAACGTCGCTATAGATCTCGACCTTTTGTGGCGTTTGTTCCAAAAACGCCGCAATAGATCTCGACCTTTTGTGGCGTTTGTTCCAAAATCGCCGCTATAGATCTCGACCTTCTGTGGCGTTTGTTTCAAAAACGCCGCTATAGATCTTGACCAAAGGCGGCGTTTTTGGTTCTCAAACGCCGCTAACTTTAGCGGCGCTTCTTGCGACATTTTTCCAATCGCCGCAAGCGCTTTTAGCGGCGCTTAAAAACGCCGCTATAGGTAAAAAAAACGCCGCAAATGTACAGTTTTGCTGTAGTGAAAATATAAAAGATTTACATATATCTACAGATAATAATATATTTATAACAAAAATTATTAGATAAATAAATAAACTTTTAATAATTTTGTATGTATTAGAATTTAATCAGTGTATATTAATGGAATGATATATTAACTTAATTAATAATATAATTAATACACAAACAATTGAAATTTAATTACATTATTTTTCTATAGGGTAAACTACATAAATGATCATTTGCGTTTTAGTTTTATAAACTTTTTTCATTGAATTCGAAAATATTAGATTTGTTCACTTTCGTTTTGTTTTAATTAAAATGTGATCACTGAAGGTTAATTGTTGTTAAACCTTTAACAATTTACTGACGTGGTAAGGTTAAAATTACATCATTTCCACGTAAATAGTAATCTCATTTGATTTCAATCCGACCAACTTTGATCACTAATTTTTTAAGTAAGTGCATTTAGTCCCTTACATTATAAATTCGTTTGATTTAAGTCATTCAATCTTTTAACTTCCGTTAACCCATAATGGAAGTCTGGGTAAGCAATTAAAAAAAAAACTCAAAAAACACGCGCGTTTCTTCTTCTTCTTCTTCTTCTTCTTCTTCTTCTTCTTCTTCTTCTTCTTCTTCTTCTTCTTCTTCTTCTTCTTCTTCTTCTTCTTCAAACCTGTAAAAGAGGATAATGGATAATGACCAACTCACCCATTGAAACAAAGTATTTGTCTTTGTTCTCCCGTAGCATAAGTCTCCAGTGTTGAATTATACCCACTGTGACTCAAAAACCCTTCGATATAATATTTGTCTTTGTTCTCCCGATTGTTTCACCGATATTCCTTCTCCCTTTTGCCCTTTTTTCAAACCCTTCAGTATCCATTGATTCGGATTCTTTCTTTCTTATCACCCACAAGAAGATTGCTTTTGATTCCTACAATTTGATGGCGATTTGTTCGAGTTGTTCGAGAAAGATTTCGGCTTAAGAACCGAATGCCATGTATAAAACCGAGCACACTTGAGCTAGCTTTTCGTCTAGTCAATCAATCCAAAAGAGTTTCCTTTGGTGTTCGGGTGATACTGATTCCGGTTCAGCTAAGCACAATGGACTTATATACCAAACCTTTTGGCTTCCCTCACAGTTCAGCCAATCAATATAAACTTTTTCCAACTCATAAAAGGTTTTGTTTCTTGTAACCTTAATCCATAGAAACTGAGTCACCATGATTATCTCATCATGTGACTCGGCCCTATTAAAAAGCTTGTCTTCAGCTACAGCTCTGGTCACACTTGAAAAAAACTTGTTTATGCCCAGGAACCCAAACTTTGATGCAAGTTCAAGAGTCTACCATAGGAATTCATCTGACACCATGACGCTCACTGGTTGAACCTGAACCAGAACCCCCAGCTTTGCAGCTTCCTCTTGAATTCTGCTTGTATCAGCTTTGTGGCTTTAAAATGGATAAAAGAGAGTCATCGAAGATAATGCTTCTGTGCTTTCAACACCAGGTAGAATTTCAGGATCATTTTGACTAAAAAAGATTTCGGTAATAGAAACAAATGTAACGTTTTGAGATTTTGTAATAAATTATCGGTTTCCGGTGGTGGTAGAAAGTGTGACCGCTATATCACAACGGATCAAGAGACGGGCTAGGCGAATAATCGGTATGGTGTGGCCTTTTGACATGAAGGGAGTAACAATTATAAATATCCTTCCCTGCAATTTACCATTTTGCCCTTGTTAAACATCCATATTTGCTATATTACCTAAAACAAAATTCTTCCATATATCCTTGAATTTATCGAATTGTTCTAATTTGACCACTGATTTAAGAAGTCCTTACAATTTGGTCACTTACCCGATGATTGGGATGTTACACAAGGTGAGTGCAATACATGCATGACATTATGTATAGATATTTTTGTACATTATCATGAAGACTTGCGATGAGTCTACCTTGTTTATATCAGCATGATATTATGTCAATATTCATAATATTGACATGTCAAAGTGTGAAATCATAATGCATTGATCATTTATAAATATGATATTTTTCCATGAATGTTATTTCGGGTATGAACTGCCCTAACGTTAATTATATGAATATATGTTGCCATGGATGATTTAATTCATGACTAGATGCCTAAGTATGTTATTGAGGTTCAGTGGTATTAATGGAATGCCATAGAGTCTAGCAACTGCAAATTTAAGTAGTACTAGAGTATCCAATGAAGACACATAGTACAAGTTAGGTGGACAATGCCCGACCCCAACACTACAGTGCATTATTAGTGAGTAAGGCTCGACCTCAGTACTATTGTGTAATATTTGACTCCAATACCGAGTTCCTCATGGATTAATAATTTCGGGCTATAGTTATTGGTAAAAATAATTATATTTATATTATATCATTTTGATTATGGTAAAATATTGGTCATGCTAGTAAGGTGATCTTATTGCATGGGAAAAAGACATTTAATTTTCATGCATGAGTTATATTGCACTATTTATTATTTTAATTATCTCACTAAGTATATACTTAGCTTGTGATGATTTTCACGTATAAGTAAGAAGCAAGAGTAGGAGTAAGGAGTAGGAGTAAGGAGTAATGAGAAACACCAGGCATCGAAGAGTAAATTACAATATCAATAAGACATCCTTTGATGTATTTTGACTTAGTTAGTGGTATGTACTTATTAATGTCTTAGTTGCTCTGTTGAACTATTTTAGATATGGTTTGTAATGGTTAAACTAAATTGTTTTACTCTATTTCAATATGGATTATATAAATCAATATTATTATTATAAAGAGATATATTTTATATTAATATATATTTTAAATATTATGCGACAATATTATGTAATTTAATATTTTATAATAATAACTACATTTTGGAAAAATAAATTTTAATCACTTTATTTAGAAAACGTTTTAAGTACTCATGTGACATCTATAATCTGTATTGATATAAATATACGGGTCGTAGGTGTTACATCCACCTCCTCCACCACCACCACTTCCATGATCCTGGGCAAGAAAGACTAGTGCAGACAGTGTAACAAACCGAGAGATTGCCAAATTCTGGAGGCAGAAACACGCTGAGGAAGAGGCTCTCCTGCTGGCAGCCATCAAGGCCGCAGCACGCAAAAGGGCCCGCAATTTGTCGGTAAGATAATATGATACTCTTTTAGCTTTATGACAGTTTGTCACAGAAAACAGTTATCAGCTTACTGATTCATGCTGTTGAGTTGATTCTTTAACAGTTATCAGCAATCAATTAGAAGCTCATGTTTAGCTGAACTGCATTGGCATAAGAAAGCAGGAGTTCGTTTTAGTAAAGTCCCCAGCATACATTCGAGTCACCTTTTTCCATCTTTTAATAAGCGTCACTCGGTTACCTTGTTCAACATCAGTATTGTGTAACGTGCAGGAGTAAGACTACAAGAGTTTCGAGGAGTCGCTGAGCGATGAAGAGTACAACGCTAAGCAGAAAACCATAGCCCCAACTAATGACAGCAATGGCAATGGAAAGAACAATAAGTTCGCGTGGGGATAAAAGACTTGTTAGTAAAATTTCTCTTCAAGATTTTGGCCACTCTGACCATGATGAGAGTAAACATACATGGGAAATCATACTATATACAATATCAGCACCAAATCCCTTTGTCATACAGTTTTCTTAAGGAAACATTAAACTGCAGAAACTTTTGTTTGAGAAATCAGCAGATGAAAATAACATAAATCCTGCAGAGAACTGATACCACAGCAGGACATAGACATGGTCTTCGCATGATCCCCCGATTATATTGAAAAACTTCAAAAGAAAACTAACAAACCGTGTTGGATCATGTCGGTATACAACGAACCAGTAGTAGCTAAGCTAGCTAGTAGTTTAGAACAAGTTATAAAATGCTTTATTCCTTGTACAATTTTGATGGAACTCTAATATCTGCTTTACTAACATCATGTGCAGGTGGACGAAGAGCAAGTATGCATACCTAAACCAACCAGCTGTTGAGTCTACGAACGATCGAAGGAGACGTGCATCCACTTTTATACCGAACTTTCTCAACTATAAACCAGCTCCTTTGTATCCTATATCACTTGGTGTCTTTTAAATCATTGAGATGGAGGAGCTTTTTCAATGTCAACTTTGCATTACCTCATATCAGGAAAATATATTGCTGTGCATTTAGTTTCCGTTTCAGTGAAACCTCCGTTCATTTGTTTGTTTGTCCTTGCATATAAGCATGGTTACAAGGTTATGAGAAAATCCTTGTAGTAGAGCAGACAATGTATTAACAATGCATATTATTATGAAATTTATGTATTTAAATTACAGTTTACTGAGAAAAAAAAACATGTTTAAACCGTCAAGTGACCAAAATAACTTTTATAGGTATCCAAAATGATGTCATTTTGATGTAAACAGTTAAGTGACCAAAATAGAATAATTAGAAAATTGAGTGATCAAACTGAAATTTTTTAAAGTTATATGACAAAAACAAAAATAAAGCCAAAGTTGAGTGACAAAAAATATATTTTTACCCATAAATGAAACCCCTTAAACTGACAATGAAATCACAACAAGAAGACATGAAAGTGCTTTATCATACTTGCTTTCAATCTTATCCCACAATGAAATATTCATGATAATTTTCTTAGTCCACCATCTCCCTCACTCATCCATTTTTTATGGAGTCTTATATGGGAATTGAAGATACTAATTTTTTACCCATATTGATTTATTATTATAATAATAATTATTATTATTATAATTACTATAAATATTATTATTATTATTATTACTATAAATATTATTATTATTATTATTATTATTATAAATATTATTATTATTATTATTATTAAATATATATATATACATAAATAATATTAAAAAATTACAAGCCCAGTTAACCGGCCCAAACTAAACCGAAACCCTAAACATTTAGGGTTTCAGTTAGGTTTCTCTAACCCTAGCCGCCTCTGCCTCCAGCCGCCTCTGCCTCCAACCGCCTCAGCCAACGGTCCAACTTCCAGCCGCCTCTGCTGCCAGTGCCACGCCTCCATCGAAGCCTCCAGAAGACCTAGATGGCCACCCACGTAGCTACTCTAGCAGTGAGTCACCACTGGGAGTCCGGTGACTCACCGAACTCTATTCTTCGGACCGGTCCGAGATGAGCACCGGTGATGGCTATAAAGCCATCACCCAACCTGCAAAGAAAAAAGAAAAGAGAGACAGAGAACAACAGATCCCAGAGAGACAAAAAAACCGAGAGCAAAAGATACAAAATAGAGACCAAATCACAACAACCAGCAATCAAAAATAGAAGAAGAGGGAGGAGAGAAGCTTACCGAGGAAGCCACGACCACCGGAACCCTCCAAACGTCACCAACAACCTTCGAAAACCGAAGGTATTTTCCTAGATTTGCTCCGATTGGGAGCTTTTTAGGAGAAAATAACACCGGAACTGTCCTTAGGACGGTCCGATCTACCCATTAGTGTAAAAATAAATTTTTCGGCCACCGGAAGCGGTGGCCGGCGTGATGGTCACGGCGGCAGACGGTTGCCGTCCGGTGACCGGCTTCCCTCCGATGAGGGAAGCTAGAGAGAGGCCAGAGAGAATTCTGGCTCTCTCTCTGCTTGAGAGAGAAAAAAAAATGAAATGGGCCAGCCATTTTGGACCTTATATAGGCCTTCCCGAACGACGTCGTTTCGGGAAGGACTATGCGTGTAATTAAAGAATAGTTAAATCATTTCCGCAGCCATTTAAACTTGTAAACTTTCCATTTTAGTCACTAAATCAAGTTTATAATACTTTTAATTTGATCTTTAAATTTTAATTTTATTATTTTAGTCCTTTATATTAAATAATATATTTAGGATAAATAACAGATTTAATCCTTAATTTTAATAAATAATATTTTAATCATTAGTTTATATTTTTAATTTATTTTATTCTAAAATCTGAATTTTAGATAATTTTATTTTAGTCACTAAATAAATAAAATAAAGAAATAGCATGTTTAATCCCTATAATTTTGATTAATTATGAATTAGGTTTTTAATTTTACTTTTACTATGATTTAGTCACCTATTTTAAATATTTTTTTATTACTTTTAAATATATAGCTCTAATTATATTTTTTAATTTTACTTGTTTATATATTTAAATATTTTTATTATGTAGCCATAAATAGATATAATAAATAAATATTTATTTTAAATAAATTATTTTAATACTTATTTTTCAATATCGAAGAAAATGACAGTCTTAATACAACTGGATGTCCTATTCTGGTATTTTAAAATTAAAAATTATAAAAAATATTATTTAATTTAAATTAATATTTATCAATATCAAAGAAAAGAGCTGTCTTAAGGCACCTAGAAGTTCTTTTCCGATATTTTTAAATATTTTTTTATAATTTTGAAATAATAGGATTATAAATTAAATATATTTTGAATTTTTTAAATTTATAATAATAGAAACAATTTATAATTAAAAAGTACCAATTTTGGGCGTTGTAGGGGTGCTAATCCTTCCCTAAACGTAACCGACCATGAATCCCTTTTTATTAATAAAAAGAACAAATTTTTGGTTATAAACGCAGATCAGTTCATCTTTTAACTGATGTTTTCTTAAAAACTCTTTTAAAAGATATTTTTTAGGTATTCGACCTACCTAACCCAAAAGGCCGATGGCGACTCCCAAATTATTTTAAAAAACCATTTATTCACATCACTTTTCCCGCCAAGTATAAAAATTCGTGCCCGGACGAAAACCGGTTACGACAGCTTGGCGACTCCGCTGGGGACCGGTCAAACTTTAAAATCAATTATAAATTGTCTCTATTAATTAAAAATTAAAAGTTCATATATTTAATTTTTAATTCTTTCTTTTCAAAATTTTTATATTTACTTATTATTTTCATAATATTTATATGTTTTATTTTATTTGCAAGTATTTTATTTTATTATTTATTTTTCTGTCAAAGGTTTGAGCATTTCTCCTCACACACAACACTTGCATTGCATAACATAAAGCTCTATAATTGAGTTGTCCCTTTTAAGTGGGAGTGAAAGCGACGTATTCGTGAGAATTTATTCTCCGTGTCAGACCTAGCAAGTAACTTTCGGGGTTCATATACTCTATGTTTTCGTGAGAATTTATTCTCCGTGTCAGGCATAGAGAAATGTATCCCCTCGAATTGAACTCGATCCATTTTAGTCTGTGATGGACTAGGATTGAGGGTTAGCAACCCAAGGGGCACTAACAAGGACAATTCGGGTACCTTTATTCTTAGATCTGAAACCCTACATATAAAAAACCCTAGAAACTCTTCCGATCTGAAGTCATGCCGAAATTTTGTCCAAAATAGGTGTACACACAGGAGAAATGAATTCTGACTTTCCTGTTAATTTATTTATTTTCTTTACTGATTAAATTACATGTTTATTTAAATTATTTAAATTTAGAGAAAGCATGTTTAAATAAAAATATTTATGTAAATGTTATTATTAAATTCCTTTATTATGTAAACTAATTTATTTTCTTTTTGTGTGTTCTTTATTTTTCTGTTTGCATAGCATCATACATGATAAAAGGCATTGATCCTTGTGTTAATTGTCTTATTGGAAAGCCTTCATCAATGGATAAAAAAGGTTCAAATCAAGTAATTCTAAACTCAGAAGTAAGACAGTGGGCTGAGGATTTACAAAGACAAGAAGGAGACAGTCTGCAGGATGATTATGTATCTGACTTAGCCAGTTATGCTCCATTTTTGCTAAAAAGAAATGATATGCAAGATTTGCGAAGTATTTGGGAAAGTTGGGATTCAAACAAAAAATTGCGGTTTTATCAGACTTACGGAGACATCCCATATTTGATATATGTTGAAGTTGATGATGAATTACTCAGAGCCCTAATCCAATTCTGGAATCCAGGGTACAATTGCTTTACTCTCAATAAAGAGGACTTGGTCCCTACTATTGAAGAGTACATAACTTTGCTACATATCGAAGGGGCTTTGGAGAATCGAATCTATTCAAAGTCAATTAAAACTCAACCATTTCGAGTTAAATTAGCAAAGATTACCGGGGTACGAGAAGAATGGGTGGCATCCCGTACAAAACAAAAAGGCGAAAGCGAAGGCATTGCTTGGACCAACATTAAAGAACTTATTCAGAGCCATCCATATATTAAAGTACGATTCAATTTATTTGCTCTGGGTATGTATGGTATGGTCATCTTCCCAAAAGTATTAGGATATGTTGAAGCTGCAGTGGTAGATTTGTTTGAACAGCTACCGAAAAAGATTAATCCTGCTTCTGCAATTCTAGCAGAGACCTTCAGATCGTTAAATGCTTGTAGAAAGCTAGGAGGTGGACGATTCTCAGGGTGTACCCAGTTGTTATATGTTTGGATCCGTAGTCATTTCTGGAGGACAGAAAAGGTTTCATACCGACGCTTTAATACGGATTACTCACCATTAAAAGAATTTCTGGAGCAAGAATGGCCGAAAGAAATTAAGAAATATATGTGGATTAATGCCTTTCGAAATCTGCAAAGCAAGGACATTGTTTGGCGAGCCCCGTGGCAAATACAAAGGGAATTCTTTTACAAATGTGGAGATTACAACTGGATAATGCTGCTCGGATTATGGGGAGGAATTGGATATGCACCACTTCTGGTCATAAGACAGTATGAAGGTCGTCAATTTGTACCTGTCACTGCTGGATTACAGTCATTTGAGTTCGCATTCCATAGCAAAAATTATAAAAGAAGTATCATGGAAGCTGTTACAGCTTGGAAAACAACTTTTTGTATCCGAGCTAAAGCAGCAAAAGAAATGCTAACTCCTGATTATGAAGAATGGAGATCTGCCAGGAAAAATGAAAATATTCCTCTACCAGATCAAAAAGAGGATATCTCTATGGAAGATCGCATTAAGGTGGTTCCATCAGAGATTGAAATCCTGAGAGCTGAGTTTGAAGCAGAAAGAGAAGGCTGGTCGAAAGAATTAGAGCAAATGAGACAAGATAAAGCTATTTTGGGAGTTGACATTGATTTTCATTCATCACAATGTGCAATGTTGAGAAAAGATAAAGAAAAAGTTAATGATGAATTCAGAGCATTACAGAAAAATTACCAGGAGTTATATAAATCCCGGAAAGCATCAGGATCAAGCCAAACAACAATACAGATAACCAGAGAATTGAACATCGAGAAAAGACGAGTTGAA